TTGCCCCTTTAAGGGAATTAGCAAGCGAGCTGCAACTCCCGGACTACCTAATACGAAACTGTTCCGGGAGTATCAAATCATCTATATGCAAACACAAAAACCAATGGAGATGTTTTTTTCGGAGAGTTGGAGCGAATGCCGGGAGAAAATCCGGTATGCGGATGGTAGCGCACACAAGACAGATATGTAGCCCTAATGCACGCTTCGCTTAGGAGATATATTTTAAAAAGGGACGTGACGCAAAGCTTCGTAGAAGGGTCGCACACGGATCGAGTCACGTAGGCACTAGATGGAGAACAATAAACAACCAATTATATGTTAAGAAGTGAAAGTTGCAAAGTTGTGCGGTCCCCTTAACCCAATCACAGAGCTCGGGTGATTGAATGTTCTGGGAACTTTTGAACAAGCCAATGAAAAGCTTCGCGCTGCAGAGCTCACGCACCTCGCGATGGGGACGCGAATCGGGTGACCTGAGGGCGCTAAAAGATCACTTCATTATTGGAGAAAGATTCTCGACAGCGATCGGTCGGCTCTTAGAGAGACCACAGTTCTTGGCTTAACGGCATTAAGAGGCAATAAATGATTTAACGGCGACAACAGCCATCCAACGGACGTTCGCTGTTCTTCACACGATCCTACCAGCCCTCACTCATCATCGGAATTTAATCGGAATACCGGGCTGGGATAAAAATTTCCGTGAGGGTACCATTCGCCTACAAAACACGGTCCAGGCGACATGTGACGACCTGCGCATCACAACCGACTCATTTCGCGGACGGCCACGGATGATCTCCCGCTCAGCCTGATGTTGGACATCCGCGGGCCCTCCTGCCGTCTACAGCGGACTCTTATGGCGTTTCAACGGGTCCTTCGCTGCAGCCGACCGGTATTGGACATGTAATCATTTCGGCGTTAAGTAGCGACATCACTATCATTACAATCTTGTAAGTGAATTCATGTCCATACTTATTACAAGCCAGAGGATAGCTCACAACACATAATTATATTTGAGACAGTTTACCGATTATGAACGCATTCCTGCCATTTTGTCGGGTGGCAACACAAAGAAATATAGCCTGTGTATTACTTGTAGTTAGTTAGCCAAATGCAATCCTTCGACCCAGGGTGCTCACCTATGAGATGCTCAACGCCGGTAAGCCATGCGCTTGGCGACCTTTAAATAAATTCAGCGCGTGCGCCCTGCTGTCTGAAAGTGACTCTCCCACCTTATGTGTAATCTAAAATGGGAAATTCCCTAAACGTCATAAATAATGCATTAAATGCCTTCAGAAATGGACTGCACTTGCTTACTTTCAATAACAAGCAAAATTCATAAAATTACATTGTGAGAGAAGGTTTACTCTGAATCCCTCTGCCGCCGCACAGCACTCGCCGCCCCACCCACTCATTTGGTTGTGCCACCAAAGGCTGCATGGTCCCCATGTTAAAGTGAAGGACCAAGCAGTCAATGAAGTAAACCCAATAATAGAGCTAAGAACTTGTTAGAATACCTGAGAGTTACCAGCTGCCGGAGAGCATGACAGTGGGAAGATCTTTGATTTCATATACATCAATATGGCAGCAATATCTTCAATATTGAATGTCATTAAAAGAAAAATGTATAATCGTAAGATACTATAAGATCTTTCTCTATTATCTGTTGTGTAACCTAAGCATGAGCTGCCACTGGTTTTCAGTTTCGTTTGCATTTCACTGTTGAATGATACCCTACTATGTAAAATGCTCCATTCTGGAAATGATTTGTTGGATCACATACAAGGTAATGGTTTCCATTAAAACACTGAAAAACAAATGACAAAGAAAATTAAGCTTCATTATAAAAACAAGGTAGCAGCAATATTGAAAAAGAAATTGTAGTTTTAACTTTTTGATTATATTTTCTCTCACTGGGTTCCAATTTTTTCACCTAGAACCAATTCCAAATCCACCTGTTGACAACCAAAATTGCAAACAATGATCCTTAAATCTTAAAAAAACATTTTCGATAAATTCTTTGAAAATTAAAAAATCTACCAACTTTTATGACTTTCTAATAACTTGACAATTCATTCAGATAAGATTTAGTACATATTTTTAAGATTTTAATTACTCTAAAAAAAAATTTAAATACATATTTTGGTCATATACGAATCACAGTATTTAACAAAAATGCACTCTACCAAATTTTGAGGAAGAATTGATAAAGATTGTGATATTCCATCATTTTTCAGATTGAATTTTTTTTAAACAAATCACATTTTCCCCAACTTTGACATTTAGCATAGAAATGAAATCACATTGATTACTTAATTAAAAACAGTTTATTTTCAATATACATGAGCAGTCTATCTTGGTTAAATTTTTCCAAAAATACACCCATTTCTACCTACTTACCCACACAAAAACAAAAACAAACAACAGTAACATACAACACCGCATTCAATCAAAATCCATGCACAAATTACGACAATCACATTACACTGATTACAAAATGGAAATGGAGGTCAATATGATCACATTTTCTTGATTGCACTTAAATGGAATTTTAGGACTCAGTCAGTACCCCAAAAATAACTTTAGAGGTTTCTTTCTCCGTGCTTTTTGTATTCCAAGTAATCAATAAATCCATCATTGTTCAGATCTGCTTCTCTTAAAATAGGATCAATGACCTCTTCAAATGCAGTATCTGAAGCATGCAAGGCTTCTTCTTCATCAGAGTCTGTAAAAAAGGAAAGAAGAAAAGAAAATGTACAATGTCATATTAACATAATGAAAAATCTCTTGTGCACAAGAAAAATTTAACAGTAAGTCGAGCCAGAGGAAGAATGCAATTTTTATACATTAACTTATTATTTATTATTAAATAATTCTTATTTACAAAATACATAATTTTATATTTGATACATAATTCTGTAGTTTGGATCTACCTAGACCACCATTAGACATACACTTTTTCTATCACTATTCAAAATGGAAATTTTCTTGCAACCTAACACTCCCTTGATCTTTCATGCATTAACCTTTTCTACTCAAGATCTATTTTTACTATCATTTTGTTTTACAACATTGAGTCATTTGTAGGAAGGCAGAACCAATACTTGTGTACTTCCCAGTAGATTTTCAAAGTTAACTCTAGAGGATTTGCTGAATGACATACAAAATTTTCCGTTGAACTCATTGATAAAATAAATTGATACAACAAAGATTTTAAATGTGTATAGTGGATGCTCTGTTTCTTTGCATCTTCACTGTTTTCCGAGATATTTATACCTATTCACCATAAATACTTCTGTTATCAATCCTTTTGTGACAGTAAGATCAGGAAAGAAATGCAAATGGTTTTACAGTCTTCGTGATTACAAAATAAAATATGTAGCCAACATGGTGGTAAGACTGAAAACGCATTGGTAAATGAGTGTAATGACACATGATGCTT